TGGGGATTCAACATCCTAATGCGAATTATCAGGCCTTTTTCAAGAGATAAATATAACCAATTCATGTTATATGCATCTTATGCATACATTTTAGAGCATCATTTTTTTCCCACATACATAATTTTTGCAGCTTTTAGAGTCAAGTTTCGACTTCAAGACGAAGGATACTCGATTCAAAAGCACCTTTAAAGATTGATGTTGGTTGCTTAACTCAGCAGCAAGAAGCTACACTTCAACCAATTTGACATATTGAAAGATCGACAGATCTTAGAATCAACTTCAGACGAGTTCGAGAGATAATTCAGAACTGATCCAGTTCGTATTTTCAAGTTGGATTTCAACTTCACGACGAAAGATATCCAATTCCTGGCTCAACTTCACGACGAAGGGGCCACCCACGATTTCAACTTCACGACGAAGGGAATCGTGCTCACCATTGTCTCTCTTGAGACAGTTTCCCTTGAAACAAACTTTGTCTCTCTTGAGACAGTTTCCCTTGAAACAAAATTTTTTCTCCCTTGAGACAGTTTCTCTTGAAACATAAACATTGAAAACATTTCCCTTGAAATAAATTGTCTCTCTTGAGATAGTTTCCCTTGAAACAAAATTTTGTCTCCCTTGAGACAATTTCTCTTGAAACATAAACATTGAAAACATTTCCCTTGAAATGAATTTTGTCTCTCTTGAGATAGTTTCCCTTGAAACAAATTTTGTCTCCTTTGAGACAGTTTCTATTGAAACATAAACTTTGAAAACAGTTTCCCTTGAAACAAAATCTTTGAATATGTTTTACATTAAACAAATTTCGTCTCTCCTGAGACAGTTTCTCTTGAAACAAATTTTGTCTATCTTAAGACATGTTTTTCTTAAAACAAAATTTTGTCTCCCTTGAGACAGTTTCTCTTGAAACATCAATCCTTGAATATGTTTTTTTTGTGTCACCCTTGATACAGTTTCTCTTGAAACACAAAAAGAAACCTTTGAAATTGTTTCTCTTGAAACACAAAAAACCTTTGAAAATGTTTCTCTTGAAACACAAAACCTTTGAGATTGTTTCCCTTGAAACAAATTTTGTCTCCCTTGAGACAGTTTCTCTTGAAACACAAAATCTTTGAGTTTATTTCCTTTAAAACAAAATTTTTGTCTCCCTTGAGGCCGTTTCTCATGAAACAACATATATCTTTAAGATCGTTTCCCTTGAAATGAATTTTGTCTTTTTTAAGACAACTTCTCTTGAAGCATCATTTAAACCGTTACACTCAGCTCAGGCACATACTTGGGATGGTCGAGAAGCATTTCTCAAATCAAAAAATAGAATGTGCACATCAGATTTGAACATTTGAAGAATTCGAGATCAGGGATCAGAACTTGAAGATTCCAGAACTAAGATTCCAGAGAAGCAACCGAAGATCGAGATTTCTCTCCTGAGCCCAAAAAATAACATATGTTGCATATGCATTTTAGGCACACCTAAGAGCATTGCATCCATAGCATCACATATATGCATAACTTTTTCAGGTTTTAGCTAGAGTCAATTTCAACTTCGCGGCGAATGATATTGAACTCAAAGCGACACAATTTGCTCGAGAGTGTATTTCAACTTCACGAAGAAGGATATCTAGCTCGAAGCCAAACTTCACAATAAAGGGGTCTCCACGTTTTCAACTTCACGGCGAAGGGAATTGTGTCCACCCGCAACATACAATACTTGGATTTCAACTTCACGACGAAGGATATTCAAGTCAAGGCTCAACTTCACAACGAAGGGGGCCATCTGCGATTTCAACTCCACGATGGAGGATATCGTGCCACTCAAGACAACACAAGTTCAACTTCACAACGAAGGGACGGCTGGTTGTCAACGAACAACTTTCCAATTTCAAAGCTGATTTTTCACGACGGAGGATATCATGCTACCTATGACAACACAAGTTCAACTTCACAACGAAGGGACGGTTGGTTGTCAACAACAATTTCCCAGTTTCAGGGCCAATTTCAACTTCACAGCGGAGGATATTGGACCCAAGACAGCACAAGCTCAACTTCACAGCGAAGGGGCGGCTGACTGTCAACAAACAATTTCGGAGCCAATCTCAACTTCACAACGAAGGATATTGGACTCGAGAAAACACAAGTTCAACTTCACAACGAAGGGACGGCTGGTTGTCAACAAACAATTTTCTGGTTCCAGAGCCAATTTCAACTTCACGACGGAGGATATTGGACTTGGAACAATGCTACTTACTTGGATTTCAACTTCACGACGAAGGATATCCAACTCAAAGAAGGATTATTTGCCATCAAAATTGTCGAGTTCGACTCCATTCAGCTCGATGACACATCAATCGCACTACTTTCCGGTTGCAGTCGAGATTTTCAAGTCGAGGAGAGGACCTGGGTTAGCCGTGCCTTAGTGACAAGCAAACATTTTCAAACAGCATAGCTTAAGTCAAGAAAAAGCTATCTGTCAATGAAGATTTCTCAGTTCTATTCCGATCCAAGGTCTTTAAACCGAGAAGAAGACCGAAGGGTAACGGGAAGCCACGTGCTGATTCAAATTCCGAACTACGGCTTTAATTTCATATCATTTCAAGATGAACTCGACTTCACGATGGAGGAGTCATCCGTAACTCAATTCGACAGGGAGTTATTGAAACATCAGAGTTAATTTTCAACTCAACTGAACGAAAAGTGTGTCTTTTAATCTTTGCCCTATCCCCGTTACACGACTATGGGCAAAGAGGGGCAGCTGTCAACACACATTTTTCGTCCTACTAGGATTCAAACTCCTAAAAATAGGATAGAATTTTAGGATTCAAACTCCTAAAGATATGATAGAATTTTGCTAGGATTCAAAAAATAGGATATAATTTTATGATTTAAACTCCTAAAGATAGGATCCACAAGCACTATAAATAGCCATTGTAACTCACCATTGTAAGACACGATTTACACACAAAACATAGAGGAAAGCACGAGAAGATACAAAGACAAAGCTATTGTAAACGATTCGAAAAATAAATAAAAGGTAGTATCTTTTTTACTTTTGATTTGGTCTCTTACATTTACGTTTTAATTATTATTATTTTATTTATTTAACTTTATTTATAAGCACATTTCCATTGTTACTCATTTTATTTAATTGTTTTATTATTTTTCTTTTTTTTTCATGTAATATTTTTTTTACATTTTATGTATTTTCTTTTTTACTTTAGTATATATTTTTATTTTTTTAGATTATATATATAAATATATTATTTTTATTATCAGTTTTATTAATTTATATATATATATATATTTACTTTTTTTATTTTTTTATTTTATATATATATTATTTTTACTTTTTTTATTTATTTGTTTTATTTCTATATTTTTTTCTTTTTCTTCTTTTTCTTTATTTTTTATATTTATTTTACTTACTATTTTATCTTTGTTTTCTTTATCTTATCTTTTATTTAATTTGTTTTCTCTTTATTTTAATTTAATTAATTTATTTATTTCTTACCTTTTTATCTATTACCTTTTTATCTAACATGGTTTTTTGACCTTCTTAAGGTCACACCTTTAAAACTATCTAATATAAGTAATTGTGATCGTATTTTTACCTTTTAATTTTAAATTACAATTTTCTTAATTTAAGACAACCGACAAATTACGTAGTACCGAAAGGGCGGTTCAAGGGTGCTAATCCTTCCTTGACCGTAATCGACTCCCGAATCCGACATATCTTTGGTAAGACGCAGATCAGGTAAGATATAAGGTATCCGATTAACCTATTTATTTTTTAAATAAATAATCGGTGGCGACTCCAATCACATTTTTCAAGTCGAAGCCCAATTTCGGGACCCAACCGAAAGACGGTTACGACAGAACCAACATGAACTCAAGAACTAATACAAAGACCGAGATTGCCATCTCTGATCCCTTTCGATGACCGCTGTTCGTTGGCAACGTTGAAGAGAGTGCACACTCCTCACCGTTGAAGAAAACTTTCGACGGAAATCCGTCCCTTGAAGCAATGTTGATGGAAGGGGTAGTTTTCTTGGTGAACGAGATAACCGTCTATTGTTTTCCGGGCACCCAAGGATCTCTCTCGGGATTCTCTCCATCGGTTTGTGCAACGATATAGTTTAATCCGGGAAGTCCTTGCATGAATATAGTATTGTTAACACCATCCAACTCCAAGGCAGATCCATTGAAGGAATACACCTTTTGAAAACCAGGGGTTGCTTTATGCAATTGTACCGCGGCAAACCAATCCGGGAAGGTGATTTCATCCCAGTTGAATATCGTGATCCTAGCACTCCATCCTCGAGAGAAACTGAGTAAAGATGCCAGTTTACGCTGGCCCCGGAGTTGTCGTCGCACGGCATTGGATCGGCACCGTTAGGTTTTTTTTTGTAACAAATGAAACGAGCTAAAACTTGGCAGTGAGTTGAAGAGCTACTTCCAGTCTTATCGTACTGGATTAAACGTTGAATAGCATCAGGAGGATACTGCAATTCAGATAACCCTGATGGCCTAGCAAAACTGCTTCGAGCAAGAGCACCGGCTGCGCTATTAGCTTCCCGGGGATTAATAGCAGTTCGATCGTCCAGTTTCTTTTAAGGTTTCGAATTCAGATAACCCTGCTGGCCTAGCAAACCGTTAGGTGTTCATGTATTGATTAATATTATATCCAATACGATTTACATATATTTTTGTTACAACTTAATATGTAATTATTATTGAATAAACTTTAAAAAAAATCTCTTACCTGCGACATAAATGACAATCAATTTCATGTAACATTGATAAAATAGAGTGAGACAATACGTAACAAATAAAATCAATACTTTATTAAATACAAAATATTAGATAATTAAACATGATAAAATGAATCATTTATCATAAATATCATATTCACATTAAACCTACTGAAACTGATATCATTTCGAGTTCCATCAATTAGAGGGTTTTGTTCTTTTATGTGTTTAAACATCGATTTAGCGTAAAACAAATATTAAAAGGTGTTTCCATAGATAACAAATACACACATAAAGATAATACTGCTAATTTCTTTAATTTTTCTAGCAAATAAAAGATAATAAAATGAGGTTCAGCAATACTCGGTATCCTAAGCAGATAACGACCATCTAAAAACCGAAACAAATTCAGACACGACACAAACACAATGCAACTACCAACACTTCCATTAGAGTGGAAGAAACTTCCTTGGAATTAGGTTGCACCACTTGACTTCACCTGTAATTTCTTGGTCTCACAACAGTGACCACTCCCCCTCCATATTCAGAAATCATATTTTTGATAGACTTACCTTGCCACATTGTTCACCACAGTGAAACTGGACCAACTAGATAACTGGACACACGAGGTGTCCGACCAAACTTTTGACCCCCAATGTATCAACCATCGCCCCCATTACGAACTGCTTGCTTCATCCAACCAGCTGAAGACCTGCTGTAGAATTAATGGATAACTCCAGCACACAAGAAAATAAATAACCCTCAAGTTTGAGGTTAAATCCGCGATAAGAACACAAACCTTCAACTGAAGTTGAATCCACCGGATGGAACCTTTACATCATTTCCTCCAAACTGGAAATTCTGCTGAGTAGCATCACCAGAAGGCAGTGTCTCTTCATCCTCCTCTAGCCAGTAAGTCTCAAGAATCTTGACTGCTTTCTCATAGATCTCGTTATTGTCGTGACTCTGTAGGTTTTCAATCTTTTCTAATCCCTCGGCATCTTCTATCCACTGGGCACAATTGTTAATCTCTCCGCCACTAGCAGCCTTCTCAGCTTCACCAACCTTCAGAATGTTCTCCAACCCTTCTAGACAGACTGTTATGATTCTTGGATCAGGGAATGCAAGGAGATCACACAAAGGTTGTATGCATCCTTGACTGACCAGGTACCTACATGTTCACATAACAAGAATGACTTATCCCCATGTTCAATAAGAATGAAATGAAGAAATTGACATCAGAAAACAGATAAACAAATAGCATACTTGATTTGATCATGAGTACCACCAGAGGTAGCATTTGAAATCGCCCATGCTGCTTCTTTCTTTATATCAAATTCAGCATTCTGAAGTAGGCTAACCAGGGGAACAATTATCCCAGCATTGATCACAGCCTAGAACAATTTTAGCATAATGGTAAGCATAGCATGGTAGACAACTTCCAATAGTGAAAAGGGGCAGTGAATCAGTAAATTCAGACAATTAGAAACACCCTTGAAGCACATATTGCCATGATTACTCACCTGAATCTGTTCCTTGTTTCCTGCTGTAATGTTTGAGATAGTCCAGCAAGCCTCTTTTTTTATGCTCTTTTTATGGTTATGGGTCAACAGGCTCACAAGGCAAGTTAATGCACCATGGTCAATCATACACTGAAAATGAACGACATAAAGTCAACAACATAGGGTAAAAACCAACTGAAGCAGAAAACCAAAACTTAAGAATGAAGCAGAATCTTAAACTATGCCTGAGTCTGTAAATCATCTCCTGTCACAATATTTCCGACTGTACGGAGAGCAGGAATGAGCACTGAAGGAGAGGGATTACTGCAAAAAATACATGTATAAACATATGGTCCACATTCCACAGAAAAATAAATAAGAGGGCCCTAAAGATGTTTTAGGATGTTATACTCACAGTAAGAGCTCAACAAGTCGTGGGCAAACTCCTGCCTCAATCACAGCTTGAATTTTGTCATTTGTGCCATCAGACAGATACGATAGAGCCCAACAGGCATCAGTGAGAACTTCTTCATCGTTTGAGTGAATGAGACGTTCAAGCGCGGGAAGAGCAGGCCTCACCTAGCCAACAGATATCCATGTAAAAGTTCAATTAAAGACGCAAAATAAAGGAGAGGACTACTAAATAACAATGCACAAAACAAGATGAAAACCTGATCAAATGGAGGCTGCGGCTTGCCCCTGCAGAAATTTGATAATGTCCAAGTCGCATTTCTCAGCAATGACAACTTTGAGTGTTCATTCAACTGAACTAACAGCGGCATCAAAGCCCCGTGACTAAGAACAAGATCACGACATCTAGGGGAATCTCCAGCAACATTCCCCAATGCCCACACAGCCTAAATATTTACTAACATATCACTTATCATCATTACTTGTAAAAACAACAATAATCCCAGAATCACAAGTCTCAAACAAACTTAATTCAAAGGATAAAACTTTTAAAGATTATACCTGTTCTCGAACATCATCACTTGGGGAACCAAGAAGCTTTACAAATATAGGAACAGCCCCATGATCAATAACTACCTTCGTATTCTCAGATGTTCCAGAAGCAATATTTGTTAGCGCCCAAGCAGCCTCAAACTACAAGTTTCCCAAATAAACAAATAATATAATATAATTAAACCCCCAAGAAATGGACATAAGCAATAAAGAAGCCACATTTGTAAGTGCTCAAGCAGCCATAAAATACAAGTTTTTCCATTGTATTACAAATTATAGCAAAGAACTAAACCCAAAAAATCCTTATTAGAATTCAAGAACTTATACCTGAAGCTGTGGGAAATCTTCCTTCATAAGGAACTCCACAAAGCGAGGAACGACGCCAGACTGTATCACTTCTTCAATTGGGGGACTCCGCTCTGTTTATTAAATTAAAAAGCCAAGTTTATTTACATAAACTAAGTTAATGAATGATGGAGAAAAAGAAAGAAATGTAAGAAAAATTACCAATTGAAAGCAATTTACGGAACTGAGTTGTTGCTTCTAGCTGTGCCGCGCCGTCATCGGACCAAACGCCGGCAACCATCGAAGGAAGACTCTCCAACTGCAATAGAAAACCCCTAAATCAATTAAATTTCAGAGGAAAAAGCATAAATTGAAAGTTTCGCTTAAGCGATTGTGGTTTACTTTTTTCTCGACGTTTGAAGATTGAAGAGAAGCGGGCAATTGTTGAGCTTGGAGGCCTTCACGACGCTTCTTCTGTAAACTCTCTTCGCGCTTGCTTTTCCGGATCTCCACCATGTTGTCTTCCCTTCTACGGCGGCCTTCCTCCGCGTCAACCGCCACCTTGTAGCGGTTACGACGTACCTCAGTTCTACTGCTCGGTCTCAACGACATATTGCGCAGCTGCTTTTCTTAGAAAATGAAACCAGTGAGTTTGAGATTTTATAGAAACGGATCGAAAGAATAAAAACCCTAGACAGTTTTAGGGATTTTGAATTTTTATTTATATATTAGAATAAATATTATTTTCTAATGAAACCACGCTATTATATGAAGCTCGTAATTACTCAACTATATCGTCATTTAATTTAATTAATTAATATTAATGCTTTTACTTTTTGCGTGGAAGGGATAACTCAATTAAAACCTTAATTCAAATCAGATATTAGGTTAGATTAGGGATGGCAAAAAAGATTCGAACCCGACGGGGAAAATTGAAAATTGAATTAAATGGGGATGGGGAAAAATCGTTTATGTTAAACGGGGACGGAAAAAAACCGTTTATATTAAACGGGGACGGGGACGGGTTTGGTAATCCCCGCCCCGATTACCCGACCCGATAAATATTAAAAATTATTATATATATATTAATAAATTTAATTTAAAAATATATATATATAATATTTATATATTTAATTTAAATATATATATACCCGGTCCGATACTCAACCCGATACCCGTTTAAATAACCCTTTATGCTAAACGGGGATACACGTTCCCCGCAGTTTTCCCCGATTACCCGATGAGGATCCCCGTTTAAATCCCCGCGGTTTTTTAAGCGGGGACGGGTTTGAGACATTGTAACACCCTCATTTACAATGTCTAAAATCCCTAAAACCGTTTATGCTAAACGGGGACGAAAAAAAACCGTTTATGCTAAACGGGGACGGAGACGGGTTTGGTAATCCCCGTCCCGATTACCCGGCCCGATAAATATTAAAAATAATTATTATATATATATATATATTATTAATAAATTTAATTTAAATATATATATATATATATATAATATTTATATATTTAATTTAAATATATATATATACCCGATCCGATACTCAACCCGATACCCGTTTAAATAACCCTTTATGCTAAACGGAGATATCCGTTCCCCCGCGGTTTTCCCCGATTACCCGATGAGGATCCATGTTTAAATCCCCGCGGGTTTTTAAGCGGGGACGGGTATGAGTTTTTTAAACGGGGACGAGGGACCAATACCCGACCCGAACCCGGCTCGTTGTCATCCCTAGGTTAGATAGATATTTCTAGAATTATTCAATATCTTGGATAAAGATTTGTGGTTTCAAAATAAATTTAAATTATGTTTTCTAAAATAAAGATATTATTTAAAAAATTTAAATAAACTAATATTTTATTATAAATATTTTTAAAAAAATAAGCTAAGGTATATAGTATGATCTAAAATAATATATCAAACATCGTACATGCATTTAAACGAGTTTGGATTTCATCTGAGAGCAAGTAAATAGGTGAAACACCAACCATCAGTGGTGGATGTATGTACACGTGTCCATTCTGATATCTAATATTTTTTAGTTTATTGTCTATTTTATTAAATGTTTTCGCTTTAAAATTTTGTTTGTACTTGTTTCTATAAAATAAAAATTATGATTAATATACATTGTTCATCCTAAACAATAGTTCTAGAAACATCACTGTTAACCATTACAATCGAAAACATGAAAAGTTCACATATATATACAACTCTATTTGTACACAGGACCGTGGCTGACCCGACGCGAGGTGCGCGACCGTGTAGGACCTAAAAAAAAACCCAAAAAAGTGTATCTATAGTGGCGTAAATACCACTATAGATGGACCTATTGAGGCGTTTTTCAAAAAAAAGTTATTATTGTTGCGATTTTTTTGAAAAAAAATCACTATAGATAGACCTATTGCGACGTTTGTAAAAAAAAGTCACTATTATTACCCCAAATTCGAATATATCTAAAAAATATAGACCTTTTTATAAGAATTTATACAAACCCCGAAAATCTAGCACGGCTCGGTTCGTACCCATACATAGTATTACCAAATACATTGAATATGACCCTGGGTGATGTAAAACGATGGTCAATGGTTGTGCATAAAGTATAACCCATTGCCATTAGTCTTCGAGAGGTGTCAAGCAAAGTCAAGATTGTCAATTTTTCATGTTATCGTAAATAATATTTGAGTATTTTATGATTATAGGTTTCCCAAAAATTATCAATTTTCATATTGCTACAAAATATTTGAGTGTTTTATGATTATAAATTTTATTTACCACGATGACCAACAGCGAAGATTAGAAAACGTTACAAGTTTTTTTTTTCTTGATGAAATCCTTTATAAATTGTGAAGGATTAATACATAGATTTTATATTAACAAATATATACACATATATTCATGATGCATGATGCCACATGCTTATTCTTTTTATGATTCTGCGATATTTAAATACTTATTTTTTAGTGACTAAATCAACTTAAATCTTTTAAAAATATATTTGATACAAGGATAAATTACATACTTATTTACTAAATTTTATTTTATCTCCTATTTCATTTATTGTACTTTCAATTTGCTCACTGAATTTTAAATATTAAATTTTATTTTTGTTACTCGAACGTTTACTTAATAACAATTATATAACGTGAAATTATTTAATATTAAAAGTGCCACATCATATTGACCACATTAGATAAGTCAAGTCTTCTTTGTTGTTCATCCCTTTTCTTAGGAAAATTCTATAGTACGACAACTTTAATATACGGTTAAGGAAATGGGTTATTGGTTTTATTATTAATTTTTTAATAAAATCGATAAAAATTACCGGAAACATTATTATTTCTACCTAAAATATTAATGTTCTAAACATTTATGGTAAAATGTCTAATAATAACAAAATCAATAGAAAGAATAACAAAACTGATAGTACTTTATCAGGTTTAGTAAAACACCTAATAATAATAAAATTGATAAAAAAATAATAATAAAATCGACCTTTTTAAACCATATATCAAGACTGCCGCACGTAATCATTTATCATCTCCCTCTATTTACTTTTCTAAAACCAACCAAACAAATAAATGGCGAGCTGTCAACATCACCGCAACATTCATCCACTTCACCATCCGTTGCGGCGTCGGCCGCTTCCTCTAACCCCAACCCATGCTTTATCACAGCTTTATCACAGCTTAAAAAAATGGCAGGAAACATCAGCTCCTCTTTTGGAAGGAAAAACCTTGAGAGCCCTTGTTTTTCGTAGATGTCAAGCTAAGCAAAGACCTCCCAAAAAAACACAAAAAAATGGATACTCCACTGAGAAGAAAAAGTGGCCTGAACCTCCCGGCCGGGATGAACGAAACTTCACTACGACTGGAAATTTCAGCATCATCTTCTTCTTTCTTTCGTTCGATATCGATATCTTCACCTAGGATGATATCGAGTTTGACTTCACCGTCTTCGTCGTTGAAATCATCTATATGTAGCGATCGGTTTATTCCGTGTAGATCTTCTTCGAGGCTACACCTCTTTGGGTTGATAGATAAGGAGTCGCCTGCTAAAGAATGAGGAAGTGAAGCTTATTCCAGGATTTTGAAATCTGAACTTTTCAGTGAACAGATTGCTTTATTCTCAATCATACAAACACCACTTGAAGAAATTCATTAATGGATTTATTCTCAATCATACGATATTACATTACACCAAACGTCCAAACAGCGGCAAAGGCCAACGGCGGGGTGGGTTTTTTTTTTCCTTTTCTAATTTTAAAAAATAGAGATTTTTTTAAATGCAATATTATTTTTAAAAATTTAAAATTATATAAATGTGACACTTTTCATTTAACATGATTTTTAAATGACCGTCACAGTAAAGATATTTAAAGTGATAACATTTGTAATGTTATATATCAGAATTGATCATAAAAAAGTTTAAACACTGCTTCAAGATAAATAATTAGCTAACTCTATTCTCATATGTAATGGGGTAAGAGGGAGGTAGAGTAATAGGTTGTCCCCAACGCCAGATTGAGAGCAGCTTCCGTGAAATACCTCCGTTATGAATTGTCCTCTGTGAGACTCGATCCCACGGCCACAAGATTAAGAGCCTTGCGTTCTACCAGCTTCCGTGAAACACTGCTTCAAGATAATATAGTTATATAACACTTGGATAGTCTCACGTTATAAATGATCACTAGTTAAAGATAATATGAAATGTTTGAGTTATTTTCTCAATTGATGACCGATAGGTATGTAAACTAACCGAACGTTTAACGAATCGTTCGTGAACTATTCAGTTAGAAGTTCATTTATTTATTAAACGAACGAATACGAACAAGATTGTATGTTTGTTTAACTAAATGAACGAACACGAAAAAAGAGTTTGTCTGTTCATTTACGTTTGTGAATGTTCGATAATCCGTTCGTTTATGTTCGTTTATTTATGTTCAACTTAATCTCCATACCTATTTAAAATATTATTGTCTAATAAATTTTAACCTTAAACCCAATAATATTTTTAAGAGAAAATCGCCTCAGTGACAAAAAAAAAAGTTATAATATACGATTTTAACCAACTTTTTTTGGATTTGCCAAAATGACCAACAAAATCGCAACGCGAAATAAAAATCGCAACGCGATCCCCAGAATCGCAAATCAGTTTCCAGAATCGCAAATCAGTTTCCAAAATCGCAACGCGATTCTTGAAAATCGCGATGCGATAGTACAAATTCGCATTGCGATTTTCCATAATCGCAACGCGAATATGAAAATCGCAACGCGAACACATAAATCGCAACGCGTATCCGTAAATCGCAACGTGTATCCGTAAATCGCAACGCGTATGGGTAAATCGCAATGCGTATCCGTATATCGCAACGCGTATCCGTAAATCGCAACGATAATACATAAAATCGCAACGCGTATCCGTAAATCGCAACGCGATATTTAAAGCGCCATTATAATCGCTACGCGTATTTTATTTTCAAATTACAAAAAGAATATTAAGACAAAATCCCGTAATCGCAACTCATAACCTAAAACCTAAAATCACAACTCAGTCCCATCTCCATCTCTCACTCTCTACGGCGAAGAAATCCGTCCCCATCTCCGAAGATTTCCGTCCCCATCTCTGGCGAAATCCCTCACAACCATTCACGGTCAGAAATC